TTATATATTTACACTAGTTCATATATGCACATTTCCATTTTTGTTTATTACATAAATAATAATTTAAATTACTAATTTATTTATTATTTCATTTGTCTCGCTCTAGTAAATATACAAAATTAATGCAAATTTGCAAATAACTAATGAGCTTTCTCTCTCGCGCGAAAGTGTATAAGAAAGTCAACAATTGGCCTTTGTTGAGGGCTCCCTAATGGATTTCTGGCCATAATTAACCCACACAGGGATGGGTCAGAGGATTGCGAGCGGTGCGAAAGTGTTGATGCCAAGACAAGTGGCAAAGGCAAAGGCAATGCCTAAATATATATAAATATCTATATATACATACATATACATTACGTATTTATGTAGAGGCCAAGTCATGCGTGGCCATTTCGCAATGGCAGCTGCGTCCATAACAATATGCCATGGCCTTTCGCTTCCTTCTTTGGGCCATGCCCAGGAAGCGTCATTCAATGACATTTCTCATGCGTGTGAATTTATGGTTTGGCCGGACCCAAGAACAACAAGAATATACGTTAAACCCTCGAGCAGTGCGGCGTATCGAGCGTATCAAGCATCAGGCATTTTTAAGGCAACCCTCGGAAGTACTTTAACTATTTGCAATCGTAAAAAGCCAAAGTTTTTGGCCACACATAAATCATTTCCCCTAAGCATTTATGTTATTTATAAAAAAWTTTTATTGTATTTGCCGAAGAATTTGCAGAAGATGCTCTAAACCAGAGCCACTGGTCGTAAGCACGCCTGGGAAATGTCGTAATAGCGCCGCAGCTCCAATATAAAATACATGAAACACACACACACACATGCCCATAGATGCTGTGTTGAATATCTATAAGCAAAAGTATCTGTTTCAATTTGCATATCTTTGATTTCCAGCTTCAGTTTTGCTTGTCACTTGTGCGCTTGGCAAAACTTACTGAGCAGCTGTAGTTGTGCGGGCTATTGTCCTTGTCATTGTTGTTGTTGCTGGTGTTGGTGTTGCCTCAGCTGCTTGTCAGCATAATTCTCCAAGGACACACAACAATACCACAAAGTTCTGGCGCTAAGCTTAAGAGTTTTCGGCCTTAGCCTGCGGGACTGTGCCTCTGCCTCAGCCTCTTGCTCTGCCGGAGCCTGAGCCTGAGCCTGAGCCTGTGCCGTGTGGCTTTACAGCCAATATGCGTAACTAATACGGGAAAACCATTTCATTTTACGTTTGACTAATAGAAAGGATTCATTATGAATTATACATATGCGTGTGGGGCTCAACTCTTTGGGCCCGTCCCAGCATCTTGGCTGGATTGCGTGCCAAGGATAAATTTGCTTWGCGTACGGGTCCCAAAAGTAGCTAACGGAGAGAGAGAGAGTGTATGTGTGTACGTGTGCGTGTGCGTGTGGACGGTATTATAATTGTGAGCTTTGGCCTTGGCTTTCGTTTGGCCAGGCCCTAGGCACTTGGGTCATGACAACAATCCCCTGGCTGGCTGTTTAGAGTGGCTAATTTTCAGCGGAGATTTTCTAGGCTAACTGGATTAGAATTGATGAACTTCATGCGGGCAAAGGGTCAAGGGCCAAGTTCTAATACCCTGTAAACATAAAATGTGTAAAATGTTATAATATGAATATGTAATGCCCAAATGTGGATGACTTCATCAAACTTCAAATTGAACGCCTTACCACTGAATTAGTCATGTGACATGTGATATTCCTGGCTTCACTATAGGGTATGCCGCAGTCAAATGCACTTTGTAGCCCATTTCGCTCCACTTTTATTATTTATGAGCGGTGGTCGGACGCTGAGTGAATGTTTTGCCAAGTAAACTGGTTGACACTTTGGAACCTTTGCAAATTTGATTTGTTAAATAAATGGGGCAAGATTTGGCTCTCCAAGGGGTTCAGCTATTTGTGCTTTCTCTTTGTGCTTTTTATGAGTAATGAAAGCAAATCAGGCATATAAGATAAATCATCAACCCAAATAAATGTGAATCACGAGCGAGATTAAGTGGATTTCTTGCACTGAAATTGGGTTTTATTGAAGACCATATGTATATACATATATTTATAAATAGAGTTCTATTTCTATTCAAAAAAAGAAATCTGTGTACGGTTTCATTCAATCGAAAAAACAAAAAACAAAAAAACCAAAAAAAAAAAAAGAAAAACAAAATAAAATTTAAAAAAACCATTGAATTAAAGATATCATACTCAAGTTAAAGAAAAGTTCAATTTATATGAAAATAAGAAAGAATATGATAATGACATTTTCGTATACCATCATAAAAGCTTTAACAAATTACATTAGAAATATTATTAAATTGATAATACTAATATTAAAGCGAATGATTATTGACTAAAACATAAAAAGTTCCCCAAAAGCCCTTTTGAACTGTCCCAGGTACAAATAAATTTCATGTGCCCACAATGAACTTGAAGATTTTTGGGCCTGGCCACCCATTCGCTTAACGTGCAACCCATTTATTTGCTGTGCCATAAATAACTCAAAGACAATTGTGCTGGGTAGTCGAGTGTATGCACAAATGCGAAATGAAAGCTAAAACTATGTTTGATATTAATTGTCAAGGCGGTTGCGGGCAATGGGTATGAATGCATGAGTGGCTGTGTGTGTGTGTGTGTGTGTGTGTGTGTGTGTGTGGGTGGAAGGGCGTTTTGGGTGGTTGCCTGGTTTTGCTGTAGGGTTTTGAAGATGTGCGGTCATTAATTTCCGGTCAAGTGGCCAGCAGACATTCATAATTATTTATTTAGCACACAGCAGATTGACCAAATGCACACGTGGTTGTTGCCTGCGGCAACGATGGGCTCCTGTGTTCGCTGTGCGTGTGTGTGTGCGTGTGTGTGTGTGTGTGTGTGTGTGGTTAGCCAAGGTGCTGAAATGTTTACTTTGTCAGCCAACAACTGCGAGTCAAAGTTAATGATGCATAGCACTTGCGGTTGCCAGCGTGCAAGAGTGTCTCCCCATCTCTAACCTTGCCCTGTGAGGGGAGGGTGGGTGTGCGAGGGAGGTTGGCTGAGTGTGGGCGGGATGGGCGCTTGCAATTTATAGATCGTAATTGCAACAATTTTGTTGCCAGGCTTCCTTTGAGCGCACACACATAGCGGCGCACGTTGAACGTTTTGATTTATCCGCCAAATGCACTCGGCACTCAGTTCGATTTTAATGACATGGCAGCAGAGTCGCAGCACGGCCCGGCTCTGGCTCTGGCTTTGGCTCTGGCGCTGGCTTTGGCTGAGATCCAATCTATATGTTAAAACAAAGAGCGCGACTAAAAGCAACCTTCAATTTGCCCAATAGCTTGGAAATAATTTATAACATTTTCCAGTTACGTATGTGACTCGACCTAGAGTCGGCGCAGAGCTGCCCCAAGGACATGCCACTCGTCCTGCTGCCGGGCAATGCAAATGCCAAATACCAAATGCCAGGCAAAGCCACCTTTCACACTGCTCATTAAATGCGACTTTATTTTTCCGCCCGCTCTCGCTGGCTGCGCGACTCCATGTCGACTTTGGCCATCATATCATGTCAGCAGAAATAACTCAGCAAAGCAAATCAACAATCTGCTGACAGTTGCTTTAGCGCATTTCTATTTTTCGGCTCAGTTGGGGCCAATTTCATGGTTGGCAACATTTTGCGTGCTGCTCTTTGCTCGCGCTCATAAGACAAATTAAAAAGTTTCTGTTGCCAGCGACCCGGCCAAAGTGCTTAGCATTATTAAAAGTTTTATAATTTATCAAATATTCTAGACCGCTCTTTATTTATTTGATTTTTTTTTTTTTTTTTTGTTCGCTTCTTTTCTTGTTCTCCTTATTATTTTCAGTGTTGACGAGAATTGTTTATCGGACATATAACTGACATTGACATCCGCTGAATGTTTGGGCAGCTGTTGGCCGCCATTGTAATTGGGAAATGTTTTCGGTCTGCCAGTGAAATCGATAGCCGTATTATAAGTAGCCCGCTGATGGCTCCCATTCGACCAGACAACAACAGGCAGTCAGTTCATTTTTTATAGATAAGCAGACACTTTTGTTTCAACAGCCAGCCAGGCAGGCAGCCAGGCAGCCAGGCAGCCAGGCAGCCAGCTGGTGCGAGTGGAGTACACATTGTACCTGTCTTAGATTCTGAAGTTGCGTAAGGTGTACGGTGTACGATGTACCTGCCACTCAATGGCCATCAATCTTGCGCTATGATAGCGTCTGACAGGCAGCTCGTAAATCTCGACGCTATCTCTGGCGCTTTTTTAGAGGCTGTCCGTGCGTTCCCATTTGCGTGGCTGTCAGTTCTGGACGGCCAATACACATGAGACCCAGTTAGAGCAAATCAAATCAAACGTCCAGCTCGATGAGTTGCCCCACTAACTAGACATGCTGCGAGAGGATCTCCTGTGCCTATAAATACTTAGAGCGGAAGGTAAATTGACGATAAGAAATAGTTTTATATAGATATATGCATATACTTAACAGAAGTATGTATATTTGGAATAAGGAGTTACGCAATCGAATTTCAATTAAATGCAGGCTTCTTCGATATAGATATAAATAAAAACTAAGTCGATTTTCAGCATTTGCAAATTTAATTTAATTTAATATAAATATATTGAATTTATTTAATATAAATATATTCAGTTGGCAAACTGGCCATCAAGGTCTTCAATTAAGCGAAAAATCATTGTTGGCTTCAAGATTATTTGGCTTATGCAACATTCGAGACTCGAGTGGAAATATTGTAGTAGCAGGGGCAGGTCTTTACATGCTTGTTAATAGTTAGTTGCGCACTGCATCAGCCGGGGTCGGCACTGTCACTGGCAGTTGCAAATTGCAGGGCTTTTGCAAAATGAATCAATGGTCGAACGGTCAAAGGTTGCATTAGTCGAGTAGATACTGTGCGGCAAATTCAATATTATGTCAGGCGCTCTGCGCATGAATCTGTGTCTGTGTGCGATATAGCATTGTGTGCAAACGTTGCGTATACGCAATATTAAATAGCCTGCCTAGGGAAGGGCCAGGACAATGCAGTGCTAACAAGGTAGTTGCACAAACGAACACACACACACACATATACAGTATTATGTGAAGCAAAAGGTGCGTTTGGCATATTTCATAGAGTCGTCCTTTGAGGATACGGGCATAAAGAGTGCGCCAGGACGATTCCATTTAAGGCGTGTTATTAAGTTGCATGCAATTAAAATTACGCGCGTAATCAGAGCGAGAAAGATAAATTCGCGTTATAAATAAAATCCGCGCTTGGCTCACGCATGCCTTCAGGCTAGCAGCAGCAGCAGCAGCAGCAGTAGCAACGGATCCCCTGTTACGCTATACGGCACAGCTCTCCGGCGTATTCGCGCGCGCAATCAGGCTGCCGCACCAGGGGCTAATTAATTTCGCCACTTTACTCCGTTACTCCGTCTCCAGGGAGTGGCTACAATGTATTCTGTATGTGTGGGTGAGGTTTTTCTATTCGAATGCCTTCTACATTTGTATTACATATCTAAGTACGATGATACCCTGTAAAAGTTTACTCAGAAGGTATTATTGAAAATATATATAAAACAAAATATATCTATAATTACTTCAGCAAATTTAAACGCGCATTATTTATAAATTGTTTGTAAATAC